GTCCGTTCTGATCACATGGTTGAACTCACGAATTATTAATGATTTTGTAAGACTTTAGTATGATCTCTCCTGTCATCACACCGTTCATTTTACTTCTTTGGACTAACCACATGCGCTTCTTGAGCGCCTTTAATTTCTTAAGYATGGGGCTCCGCTCGCGCGGGCGGGCTCCGCTACAATGAGTGCAATGCATCATGGGCTGTATCTAAACTATCTTCGCCCAAAGTCAGGGAAGAATATTAAAGAAGGAAGTGAAAGACTATAATCGCTAATAACCGACTTAAAAAGGAAACAGGTAAACCTAGTATGCTTAAATTCTTGTGTGATATATTCCTATAGTAAGTTTCCATTATTCTTGGAAATTTCGTACAAGAGTTGGAGTATTTTATAGGAAAAATTTAAATTCTTCTTTGAACGATATCAAGCGAAGGCGTTTGGAATCAGGTTTCAGCATAACTAGCCAGTGTTTCTCGGAAACATTTTGAACGTTTAGGTTGATACTTTGCATATTAACTTTGTGCTGAAGTACGTATACACTTTACTTGTACTATTTTGTAACTTTTTCGTCGAGGACTGAATCCAAATCGATTAGATAATGGATTGTGGTGTTTTGTTATTATTCATGAGATGTTTACTGCTTGAAACAATTGATGAAAAAGAGTTTTATTCGTATCCTTACCGTCCTGGTCCAGGTAAGACACGAGGACGCTGGATTCCTAGATTATAAATCAGTACAGATCGCGGCTCGTKCTAGTCCAAACAATCGGACAATGGGTTAGTTTAGAATACCTTGAGCTTTTATGTTGTGCTTTTGAACTCGTGGATACGCGAAGCTTAAAAAAGAGTTAATATTGTGAGGGGTTTGTATGTGCAAATGTTTACTCGCTCACTCACTCACTAAGATGTTAGCAGATCGATAATTACTTAAGCGCGTTTGTCTATCGTCTTACGTCATCATCTTACGAACGCTTTACGCGAATCTAGGGCGGATTTCATACAAACATATATGGGCCAAGTAAAATCATTCTAGCTTGTGTATAAAGTTAATAATGTTAATTGTAGTTTCTTTAGTCATATATGTAAAGTTCAATACAACTCAATTAACATAACGTTGATGAACACTGAATATATTATACAAATATAAATTTCCAATTTTATTTTATTTTAACAGTCAGACCACCTCAAGCGTGAACATGTAGAGGTCATTAATGACTATAGTTTTAGATTCTTGATTTCATTATTCGATTCAAACATTCATTAATGAAAACRAATCTTCGATATTCAAAAAATAATAATAATTTGAAAATTCGATTAACTTGGCTTGTAGGCTCTTGTTTATAGCGCAAACAGAAGGTAAGTCATTAATATTACACATTCCTTGCACAAAAAGTTGTTTTTGCATTTCAGTTGCATATATGCTTGGCTTTTGTATATGCCAGGCTTTGAAGATTCGCTTTCAATAATGAATGTTGGGATCGAATAATGAAATCAAGAGTCCAAAAACAAAGTCATTAATGACCTCTACGTGTTCACGCTTGAAGTGGTTTGACTGTAATGAATCTAAATACTAAAAGTAATACTTACTGATTATCACTCTCCTGTTTTATCGAACATTTTGTGTACGATTACGAACCACTGCCGTGGAATTGGCCAATTTTTCATTATAAAAAAAGMTAGATTGCAAGCGCAAGCGCCATGACACTTTTTAAGGGTATTAAATACCGCTGATCGCTCGTCCCAGTCTTCTATTCCCCATTCCCTATTCCCGGTCATTCCCCATTCTTCATTTCCTGTTTTAGTAACAACCGGTTTCACATCGTTTTGTTTAACATGTATATTGTTTTGCTTTACTTTTCTAGTTTCATTTCGTTTCTTTGTTCGCTTTAGTTTCGGCTTGTTCGTTTGCCAGTTTGCCTTGTCTGTCGGTCTGTGTGTATGGCTGTCTGTCTGTCTGTCTGTTTGCTTGTTTGCTTGTTTGCTTGTCTGTCTGTTCTGTCTGTCTGTCTGTTCTGTCTATCTGTTCTGTCTGTCTGTTCTGCCTGTCTGTCTGCCTACCTGTCTGACTATCTGTGTACCTCTGTATTTGAATGTATGTCTGTCGTCTATGTGTCTTTCTGTGTCTGTCTGTCTGCCTACCTGTCTGACTATCTGTGTACATTTGTATCTGAATATATGTCTGTAATCTATGTGTCTGTCTGTCGGTCAGTCCATCTTTCTTTTAATCCATTTGTCTATCTGTCTTTTTCTCATAATGTAACAGAGAAAGGACTTAACACCAAAGGACTGCATTTAAATCGTGCAGGAATAGGAATCCTTGCGCAAGATTTCAATAAATATCTTAAATCTAAAGCATGATTAAAAGGTAAGGAACCACTAGACGAAACAGATTCCTCTATTCATCCCTCTAGTATT